ATAACATTCCATTTCAATTTCTATATATTATTAATGAAATATCACATATTCAATAAACTAGAACAATTAACCAAGTAAAAGGTAATGTATAAAAGTGCCCGTATAGTTATCCAAAACATAACTATAAGTCGAATTTATATATACAACTCTAATATAAAACTATCTACTTATGTACAAAACGTTTCTTATATTACAACCCAAAACGTATCTTAACTACACTAAGTAAAACTATTCATCAGCGCTTTCGCCTCCTAAGACTTGCTCGAAAGAATTTTCATCTCCTTTTGCTTTCACCCATTAGGACTTGCTCCAAAGAATTTTCATCTCCTTTTGCTTTCACCCATTAGATGATCATTCAAGTCATACAACAAATACAAACAAATAATAACACAACGAGGGTATACTAATATTATAAAAATAATCAAATTATGCACTTATAAACATTAAATAACACAATTCACTTCCAAACCAAAACAAACCTAAGAATACAAATAAATTCTAGACTTGACCAATCCAAATATATGTGTTGATATCATACTATTGCAAATTGTACACTTGTAGTGATGGAACATCTGCCCCTCCCCCCTCCCAAGTTACCACATAATATTAGTATGTCTACCACTTATGGCCAAAGAATATCAGACCATAGATTAGGACCTTCTGCTACTCTCACCATATAATTCCCTTCTCTACTTGAAATAGGGTGATTATTTAAGCGTCAGGATAACTTCCAAAAAATTGACTCCCTACATCAATACATTACTTTAAACACCACATTAGGATTTTTCCCATGAAATTCTCTTCTTACCACACAAAAAAAATTAGCTCAAACTTTACATAGTATTTTAAACATACATACTTTAAAAAGTATATCGAGATCATTTATAGAAAGATTAAGTGTCAAACAAACCTTAAAAGAAAACCACAAAAGAAAAAGAATTGCACAATAAAGAGAATTTGGAAAAGACCATGACGTTGAGCGGCACATCCTTACTGCTAAGCGTTATTTGTTGCGCAAAATTGGCGCCTGATCGCCACCTTTGTGCAGCTGAGTGCCAAAGCTCTTGGCTTTCTGGCGTTTAAGCATTGTTGCCTACAGTTGAACGCCACACTAGAAGTCTAACAACTTCAAATTTTGATCTATATGCCCTCAATACTTATTTAAAATTATCCAATTTGCATCTTTAACACGACAATTGATTTTAAAACATGTTTATCCTTCATCTTTGATACAAATTGACTCATTTGATTAGTGTCTTAGTCCATTAGATCAACCCTAACTATCCAAACACACATGCAACAAATTTGACACTCTACTAACCATAATTTAGTGAACTAATTAACTATACAAATCTCAAATGACCCAAAAACAGTCCTTAATCATCAAGTATACCCATTCAACCATCTCTTCAAAAGTTCACCTATCAAAACCCATCTTTTTAGACAAAAACTAACACACAACACTCCCTTTTCATCACTTTCAATTCTACAATAGTTTCGTACCTAATTAAACTTCAAAATAACAATATTAAAGGTTCAAGCTCGTACCAATTCACAATCATAAATAGCAATATTCATCAATGGACAACATTCAATCATCAATATACAAACATCACTCAACAAGCATCTCAATTGATAACATATTCAACCAACATTATCTAACAACCTATCATACATACAATCATACTCCTTAACATGAATTTAAAGAAATTATTAGTTTCCCATATCTGGTTGGAAAACTCACACAACTCTAACAAAGTAAACCACTCTTACTTAAGTTCTGATAACTCTATCTATACCTTCAAATTGTAGAATGATAATCAGGGTAGGTTATTAGGACCACTGATTAACAAGGAGCTAAAAAAGAAAGTTGGATGATACATGCGACACGGTTACTTGCATGTGTCTTAAATAGCTAATCAAAGTAAAAAAGAGTGCAAACTAACTTACTCTATAAAGTAATCTAATCAAATGAAATTGTAAACCTCACTACCGTTGAGACATAAAAAAGAAAGTTGGATGATACATGCGACAAGATTACTTGCATGTGTCTTAAATAACTAATCAAAGTAAAAAAGAGTAGAAACTAACTTACTCTATAAAGTAATATAATCAAATGAAATTATAAACCTCACTACCGTTGAGACATATAACTTAGGAACTAAAAAACTTAGAGGAAAGGAAGAAAAAGTCCAGAGAAAATGTTCTAAAGAGATAATAAGTGTTGTAAACAATGAGACACGTTTATAAAAAATTTTAACATTAAAATAATCTGGTCTCATTAATTTAAAATACTTACAAATTCTAATACTCTATTTTTTTAATTCTTACATTTTTTATGAATAAAGAAATTATTTATGAAATAATGTTAACTTTTCAAAATTGAAAATAATTATTTACGAAATTACTCACTTGAATCTAAACATAGACTTACGTATAAAAGAATTATGTTGTAAAATTAAAAAATAAACACACATATATTCATAAAAATTTGTGAGTTGTTTCTAGTATCAGTTAGTTAAAGAATTTATTAATTAAAGAAATTATTTTATTTTTACATCCTATACCTATATAAAAAGAATTTATCATTATAATGTATTTTTTTTTACTTTTATCTTTGGTTATCATTTTATTTAAATTTAAAAGATTTTTAAAAATTTAATTACTTTTTAAAATTAAATAAATAAATAAAATTACTAAATAAATAAAATTATTTACAAAATAAATAAAAACTATTCATAATTAAATTATAAAAATTATTTATATTTATTTTTAAATTATAATTTTAGGGTTAAATATGTTTTTACTCCCTCAACTATCAAGCGATTTTGTTTTTCGTCCCTATTTCAAACTTTGTACGTTTTGATCCCTCTCTTTAAGGAAACTATAATTTTTGGTCCTCCAAAATAAACGGCGTTAAAAATCAGGTGAGGTGGCTAACGTTTGGTCATGCTGGAAACTTTGAAACTCTCCCTCTACAACTTTAAATATTTTTCAATGCAAAATCAGAACGCTAGTCACACACGAACGCCAACACACCTCTACTAATTCAGGCTGTCGCCGGCAACGTTTGTTGCCGCCGGAGAAGTCACCGGAGTTTCCCTTCCTTTTCTTCCGAGCATCATGCAAGTATGACCCAGTTTTGACATCTACCAAGGTTTTAATGTACGATTACGGGAAATTGCAGACAAAAGCAACCAAGAAGTCTCAGCCTATAGTTGAAATCGAAGGTCGTTTATTAAATCTTGACATGTATTGAGCTTTATGAACCACGAGCTTGAATTACTTTTTTCTTTCAAAAAAAACAAGGAAAAACGAAGGGGTGGACTTCCAAGAAATTATGTCAACCACGATGCCTTGTTGTTTGTTTGGTTGAGAGAGAAAGTGCACTACAGCTTTGCCTTGCACACACCTCACACTGGACCACATTTTCTCTTCTTTCTCAACTCTACCCTCTTCTTCACTCAATTCAATAGTTCCTTTTTTTAATTTAATTAATAGATGCGTAGTTAAAATAATTATAAATAACTTTTAATCTGACTTTTAGTTAACTATATAGATTGTTCCTTAATATTGAGACTACTTATATAATGTATTACAGATGGTTTTGTTTAAATAAAAAATTATTATAATAATACATCGGAAATTAATTTCCAAAATATGTAATATATAAAAATATTTATTACTCCAACATGATACACTATAGTTGATCTACATGCAGACACATTGGAGTGTAACCAGATACATAAGATATCCGCAATTAAGATTTGGACTTGGAACACGAAGGGATCTCATTATGCAGAAAACATGATCAAAAGCTTATCCAACAAGTTGGAATTTTGAAAGGTTTCATCCTCTGTAACATGTCTGGTTTTGGAAAATTCTGGAAAACGAAATGATACTCTGATTCAGTGCTCATTTCTCATGACCCCGCCCATGATGTCGTGTTTTCCAGAATTCTCCACACCTCCTTCTTCAAAGTTCTATTATATATATATATATATATATATATATAACACAAAACCTTCCTTCTCCACATTCAAACGTCACACTTTCACCAATTCATTAGATTAATAACCTTAATTTTTCTTCTGTTATGCGGTCTCAACAGAAAGAACACGACACTCTTCACAAATGGCACACACTTTGTCCTCTAATCTGGATCTTAACCTTCCCACATCGAGGTATCTTCTTTACTGTAGACCAACCTAATTGAAGCCAGTGAAGTTCATGGTGATGGGAGATGCGAGAGAAAAGCTTGACCGGAAGATTTGACTGTTTTTTGTTTTGGGATTGAGGCTTGAAGCTGCGACGGCCGGTGCGGACCGACCGAAGAAGGAGACGCTGGCGTTGACGACACCCCGATGGCTCCATATGCCACCCGCGGCGAATCTGGTTGGAGTGGACAGTGATGGTGCCTTTATCGTTCCTGATGAGCGTTGCAGAGATTGAAAAAGAAGAAAGAAACCCTAATGATTAGAAGAAAAGGAAGGGAAACTCCAATGGCTTCCTGGTTGTAACAAACGTCTCCGTCGATAGCCCTAGTTAGTGGATGTGTGTTGACGTTCGTGTGTGACCACTGACTTTGCATTAAAAAATATTAAATGTTGTAGAGAGAGTTTCAAAGTTTCCAGCGTGGCCAAACGTTATCCACCTCACCTAATTTTTAACGCCATTTATTTTGGAGGATAAAAAATTATGGTTTCCTTAAGGAGAGGGATCAAAACGTAAAAAGTTTAAAATATGGACGAAAAACAAAATCGCTTGATAGTTGAGAGACTAAAAACGTATTTAACCCATAATTTTATTATTATGTAGGTTTGCACTAGTCATACATAACCTTTTAAGCATCAATGAGGTAAGGTATGTTCCATCGTATAGTGGACCCACCCATACACCTTTCCTTCAATCTTAGTGAATTCCAAAGCATGAAACTTTGTTAGAAGCTTGCATTATTTTCCTTTTCATGGTTCCACTTCATTCCTTTACCCTTCACCAAAAATAAGAACAGAACATAAAACCCTTTTCGCTTCATTAATTTTCTGAAATTTTATGTTTCAGAAATGGCTTCAAATCAAGAAGCAACAATCCCTTTGAAATTTTGGGTGGACGAAGAACAAAACAGTGTAATTGTGGCAGAAGCGAGTGGAGACTTCGTTGATGTTCTCTTCAGTTTCCTCACCCTTCCACTGGGAACCATCATCAGGCTTGTGTCAAAAAACCAACCTCACCAACCGTTAGAGATCGGTTGCATCGGCAACCTTTACCAGAGTGTGGAAAAGTTCAACACTAACGTCTTCTGGAACCGTATCTGCCGGCAAATGCTGCTCTCTCCGCGCAACCCTTCGGAAACCTCTTGCCAGAGACTGAAACTGAAGGTGGATGATACAGTGCCCACAAAGTATTTCGTGTGTGGGTACTGTTTAAAGGGCAGTGATTTGTTGCTGAGTACTTTTGGTGGGGCAAGTTGCTACTGTGGGAAGTTGATGACCAAAGAGATGAAAGTGCTGGAAGAGTCAAAGGAAGAGGGTTCTTGGGGAAATGGTGTTTTTGTTAAAGGGGATGCCATGTTCTTGATCTTTGATGATTTGAGAGTGCTGAACAGCTCTCCAGGTAACACTGTTCAGCAACTCCTCCAACTTGGATACAAAGACTTCAACAAGATGAAAGAAATTTCTGTAAATGTTGGCATGAAGGAGGTAATAATATGTTGATAATGATGTTTGCTCACCTATATGCTATTAGAGACCCCAAAGGTGAAATAGCTATTTTAGAGAAAACTTCTTTATCATTATTTTCTTTAAGAAATGATTTTTAATTTATGCATGAGTTAATTTTAGATTATGAAGAAATATGGTTAATCAAACTTGTAATAAATTAGGCTTAATTGTATTGTTTTATTTTATCTTCCAGGTATCATAATTGTAACATTATTTCAGGTTGCAACTATGCCAACTGGGTCCTGTCTTGTATGCATTATTGATAACCTTGTGCAATTCCTTATGGAGAGGAGCATTCCTTTAGTATAATTCTTTGATAGTATTAGGAAATTACCTTCAGTATAACACTTTGTTTTTTTCAGATATTTAGCATACTAAAGCAAGCATTAACCTCCAAATCTCCTCTAAGTGATGTATTTTTGGCAAACAGAGAATCTAAGCCAACACTCCCTTCCTTCTCACTAGATTCTGGCCTAAGCCACCATAAATGTTCTTTAGAAGTCAAGATAACAGTGAGCAAATCACAGAACAAGATTCTGTTTGCTGAAGCAGAGGGAAACTTTGTGGATTTTCTATTCAGCTTCCTTACCATACCTCTTGGATCTATTATAAACCTCATGAATGGCAAATCATCCTTTGGAAGCATTGATAACTTGTATAAAAGTGTGAAGGATCTTAATTCATCATGGTTCATAGGATCAGCAAACAATTCCTTACTGAATCCATGTGTCCCTCATCAATTTGGTTGTACATGCCAGCCAATACATGTTCCAGAAGAAGACAGTCCCAGTTATTGGTATGGCACTAAGGTAGTGAATGCCAATATCAAACGTGAAGCGATTTCAAAGAATCAAGACGTGTTACAAGATCCAGTGGCTATGAAAATTTTTGAACCAAGATGTTCTGATGGAGCAAGAGGACCTGCCGTGGGATTTATGAAGAGGCCCTGTATATTTGTTGTGAGGGATGATCTTTAAGTGTCACCAATGACAACTACTTCTAGCATTTCCTTCGTACAAGAGTTTCATTTGCCATTGGATGATTTTGAGGAACATTTGGTGGAAATTAAGAACTCACGCGAGGTAATCATGCTCACAATCCACTCTTAAGACTTGTTCTTTGGCGTTGCTATAAGGAAATTTATTCATACATTGTATGAAAATCTGATCATATATATGGTGAAGTTATTACGAAGTAACTTTAGGTTGAAAGTCTACACTAACATTTACATCAAATTTGCTTTTACAGTGAAATTATCCAAAATTAGATTACATTATTTTAAAGTCAGTTTAAACAAAATAATTTTACAAATAGTTGGTCATAATGAAACTTTCTACAACTTTTCTTCCATTGACACTTGTTTTTCAATTCTTAATATGTTAATTGTGTCTATTTTGGTCAGGCGCTAAACCTGTTGAGAGCTTCTTTGACATCTAAAGCTGCTTTAACAGATAGCCTATTCTACTTACTGAAGAGAAGGAAAAAGGAAATGTGTATTTTGAGATGTATTGGCTGGAAGGAAGAAGGAGATGAAAAGAAAAAAGATGGAAACAGAAAAGAAAATTATTGAATTGTTATTTTTTTGTTTTAATTTGAACAGGGGCTTGTCATGGTTGGACACGGTTTCGACACTTGCAAGAAAGGATTAAAAAATTATTTTTGTTTCGGCTTCTGTAAACAGATCTGAGTTGAAATTTGCAAGGATTTTGAAAATATAAAATAAAATCTTCTGTTGATTAAAGAAATCAATGTATTGGAAAAATACCATGTTTATGTAGTGAAGTTTATAATAAGTATCTAACTTATATAATAATATAATTAAAGTTTATAATCAATAACTTGAACATATAAATTACACCCTAGATTTACAATAGATATTTCGTATCGTGATACAAAATTGTGTTTAATAGGATCCTTAATTTAAAAAAAAAAAATAGTTGTATCCACGTGCCGTGATTGCATAATCAATGTTTTTTTCCCTGTCTATTTACCATTGAAATCGAGTGGTGAATACAAATTTATTTTAATTTAATAAGTTATTTTAAGTTGGAGCAACCAATATGATTTTAATTTAATAAATATATAATTTATGAAGAAATAATAAATTTCCACACCAAAAACTTCCGTTTCTGTATAACAGCAAGTGGGGCACGCGGTGTGTTAACCCGCAGGGTCATTCACAATGATCAAATCATAACACCGTTTGACTCGCGTGTTTGTGTATCCACAATTCTATTTCCTTAATGGCAAAGTTATTATCTCGATTATAAGGCACCAAAGTCAATTACCTCTCTCAACTCTCAACTCTAAACTCTCCATCCCGCCATGGAGGAGCCTCTGCTATCAGGTACAATTTCACTTCTTTGATGGCAAAGTTTCAATTTTAATGGCTGATTTTGAATTTTTGAAACGATTCTGATTCTGGGTAATTTTTAATTTTTCTTGGGTTTGAATTAGATAAGAGAAGTGGATCGATTGAAGCGGACAGTGGAAAATGGAGCTCGTATCAGTATGTGGGTCGAACCGGTTCTGCTAGACCAACTGCTTCATTGGCTGGAACTGAGGTAAGTGTGGATGAGATACGATCCGCAGCTGCTGCTTCCTCTTCTGGTTACTATCCTCCTTCTCTTCACGGGGCTTTGGTTGGTTCACCTGAGCCTGATCCTACAGGTGTGTTCTCTTGTGGTTCCTGATTCTCGTTTCAATTATGATGATTGCCAAGGTTTTCAATTGCAGTCACAGCCGCAGTTTCATTTCCACCCTTGAAATTGGGGATACATGCGGCTAAAGTAGCCACAGTTGCTTTCGCAAAGACCCCAAAGACATTGCTGTTGTGGCTGTAATTTACTGTTTTTTTACCTTTGTGTTTGGTTTTTATATTGTATTTTCTTTTTCATTGCACCACTAATTCATTCAAATTTTGAGCCATATGTGTTCATTATTGTGTAATAATTAAAAAGTTGTGGGCTCTAAAGTAATAGTCATTGTACAACGGCTGCCATTGGAGATTGGGTAGAGGGATTTTTCTGGTTTTTCTTTAGCAGTGTCTTCTATTATAATTTTTAGACAAATGGAGATTTACTAGTTTAAGTTTATTGCCAGAAGATACTTTTCCTTTGTAACCTGGATGCTGAATACATTATTACCTGTTGCAGAGCAAGCTCTTGTCTATCAAGGTGGATATGGAGGAGATTATAGTGGACCAAGACCCCAATTCCAGAGGTATAACATCTGCAAAAAAATCCATAAAACATGTGTTTTCATGTAGCTTCTCATATGGGAACTGGGCTGTACAATAAGCTGTTTAATGTTTTGGTTTCATTGTCGGAAAGAATTAATGGAGGGTTTTATTATAACAATGATTCAAACCTTGTTGTTACCGAAATTAGATGGTGGAAATAAAATAAATGTATAGAAGTGTGGACAGGTAGACAATGTTTTATGAGGCAGAAAAATGGAGAATCAAATTAGATGGTGGAAATAAAATAATGTTGTTAATTGTTATGGTGTACAATGTAGAGTTACAAAGTGCTTTCTAGGTGCTAGCTTTTTGAGTGTTCGGAGGGGTCTAGCTAAGATTTCAGATCAGAAAACAGAAACAAAGATGTATGGAGTTTGATATTTAAGGGCTAATTTATAAGTCGCTTTGATTAAAGAGAACATGCATCAAACGAAGGTACATTTGCTACCTGAAAATGTGTAACTAAATGTATCTGATGTTGGTGGTGGTGTTATGCAGCACTTTTAGGAATCATTCGGAAATAAGTGAAATCATATTCAGCAGAAAGCAACTAATTTATATGCTAGAGTCTATTTTACAGTGAAAATAAGATAGGTTATCTCCCCCTTTACGTGCTTGAGAAAATAGTAAATAGCAATAGCTCAAAAGGGGTTTGAAGGGGAGAAAAATTAGGAGGGTTCATCGAGATAAATGTCTGTCATCGTTAATGACTTCATTAAAATGTTACTTCCCTCCTTTTATTATTGGTTGGCGTTTATGGTTTTTTCACATAAATTAAGAAAAAAAAATTATTTCAAGACAATAATATTTGTTAGGGACCAATTTTACTGAAATATCTTTACTCTTTTAATTTCTTAGTTACTGAAATGTCAATTGGTATGATTTTTCTCGAAGCTAAAACAATAATCAATATGAAATGGAAGGACTTTTAGACTCTTTCCTCTAATAGGTAAAGGAATTGGCACCGCATTTTTTGGTGAGGCATATTATGATTGTTTATTTAAAAAGTATCTTCCGCATGTGACGTGTGTCTAAGATGCATGCCTTTTGATAAAGGCCATTCTGATATGAACTTCTCAAGGTCAATAATATATTGGCAAATAATCTTTGTTTACCGGGTGATCCTCTTTTAGGAAAATTCTGGATGAAGTGGAGATACGAGAGTTGCTCATTGATCATGTTGGTCATCGTTGCTGTTGGGGTAGCCGTCCTGCTCGAACGTGGAAGATTCATGCAGTGGAAGACTGTAATGTTTATGTAGGAACACTGGATACATTTATAGAGGAAAGAGAGATCATAAGAGAGACTGAACCATACCTTGGTGGCAGTATTGATGGAAAAGATAATGGACCTGAACTTGGTATTTGGGAATTGGATCTAAGATCTCAGTTCCCTATTCTATTTGTACCCTACAATGAAGTGCGGCAAAAGATTCCTCATTCTGAAGTTATTGAGAAATGCTCAGGTGAATTCTCGATTTTGATTTCCAAGATTCACAAATAAAATATGTACACTCATATACTACTATTTCACCACTATTTCCTTTTACCTCTCCTAACAAAATTGTCGAAATTATTCAGTTTGTGCTGGAAGAGGAAGTACAGTCTGTGCTACATGCAATGCAGACCAAGAACCTGGATTTTATAAGGAAAATCAGATGACTCAGTGTGCAACTTGTTATGGAAGGGGTTTAATAGCTCATAAAGATGGTTCAGACACAGAGTGAGTAATTTGTTTGTTCATATAATAGATCAATGTTGAATTGAAGCAGTAGTCAAAAGCCCTGGCATAATTGCTTTCTCTCAAGGTGGAAGTTTATAGTTGTAATTCATTTATTTAAGTTACATTTTCTTGCAGATGTGTGAAGTGTAAGGGCAGGGGAAAGATTCCTTGTGTGACTTGTGGATCACGTGGGCTAATTAAGTGTGTAACATGTAATGGAGGTGGTTCTCTTCTAGCACGCAATATAGCTATTATTCGATGGTATGTCAATCTGGCTGTCTAATATTACTCAAACTTGTACATAATAATAATATATTATCTGGAGTAGTTACTTACTTTAGCAGGCACACCTTGTCATCATTTGCGTGCTTTAGTTATAATTTAAACCAGTGTGATATGCATTAAAAAGTCTCTGTAGAATGAACTGCATCAGCAGTAATTATGAACCGTTTTATGATTTCTCTGTAACTGTGGCTGAATAAGACAATCCTGCATTTATTAGCTCCATAGCCCTCTGCCTCCACCTTTTTTTATCCCAAAAGGGTGATGTTCATTTTGTGAAATACAAGTGCTCTGTCAAAGCAAGGGAGTTTCAAACATGGTAAAATATTGATATAAAGAGAGAACAAGTAAAATAACATTTATGTAATTTAATCATCCTCTTGAAGCTAAAGTTGGCTCCAACTTTTTGAAATGAAACTTTGCTGTTTATTGTGATTTGGAAGTATGGTTGATAGTTAGAAGAGAAGGATATGAACGCTAAAGTGTTGTTTAGGTAACCCAAGATAGGAAAAGCTGAGGAAGACCTTTTGAATACACAAAAGATGATTCAATGCACGAAATCAATTGAAATAATACTAACAGACTTTGTAGAACATGGATTATATGTACTTGAATGGCCATTGTGCAGTATGCATCATAAAGATTTTGTACTGTTTAAAGCGGTGAATCCAAAATTTAGTTAGAGGTCAAGGCCAGTGTCACAATTTGATGTTTGAGCGTTACTGCTCAATCCTTGTGCAGAAATGTTATCTGTCACTATAGATGCGGCACTTCTATTATATAATCTAGTTTAAGAGAGTCATGTTGATGTGAATAACATTGATTCCGTTTATTTACAATTCTAAAAGACCAGTGTTTGCGCTGCTACAGGAAGACTCTTTCAACTCGGAAAGTAAATGCAACAAGTGGAGCAGCATCAGTACCAGATGAGGTTTTCAATAGGTCCAAAGGGGTGGAATTGTGTAACACTCAGGCACACCAATGCACACCAGCCTTTTTTGCAGATTCTTATTTTCTCAACAAGTTTTCTTCTGATGTAATTGCTGAAAGAGCACAAGTACCTGCCACTGCAAGGGTCATATGTGAGAGGCACACAATCTCAGTTGTGCCAGTAACTCGTGTAACCATGTGTCACAGTCGGCAATCCTTCAGTTTCTATATCATAGAATATGGCAGGGAGGTGTATCTTAAGGATTATTACCCTGCAAGATTTTGCTGGGGCCTGTGCCCATGTCTGGAGTGGTTGAAGTTGTAATGTTTGAAACTTGTCATACTGGCAGCATTAAGGGGTACACCAGGTTCCATCTACAAGATTATGAGTTGTGTTTATTTGTTCAGTTTGATACAGAAACAGATTTCTGGGTTTGAGAGGTGTGAAGATGAACAGTGTACTATTTATCGTTTTTGCCATTGAATAAAAATCATGTACTTGGTTTCTATTTTTCATAAAAAATCATCACCTAGTAGGATTTCTAGCTGGTTTTATTAAAGCTAATCTTTGTGACATTCCTTGCTTTCTCGTCTCCATGGAATGGAAGTAATGAAGAGCAGTTTCAAGTCTAAACACAAGCCCTTCATGAGATAATTACAGCAAAACATGTGTTGTAAAAGGAAAAATCAAAGTTAGCAAATACTGAACACATTTTTGTCTTTCAACCTTTTATGAATCTAATTTATCAGTAACTTTCATTTTGAGACTATATGTGTGTAAGACCTTGGAAATTTAACACTGCAAACCATCTGTCAAATCATAATTAATACACCCCACGTCACTTGCTCAGAGTAATTAAAACGCATTCAAACTCCTCTTCGCTAACGCCAGGTGTCGTGTATGGAAGGTTCGAAAATCAGTAAGTGGGATGCAGGTGTCAGCAGGAGAACCGACGTTGGTTTTTAAACAAAATTGATTTTTCTGAAGTCCGCGTCACTCTCTGCATGCACTCTTCTTCTCCAAAGACCCTGATCTTTCGAATTCTCCTTCTTCTCTCTAGAACAATCCCATCTTCTCACTACTGTAACTCACCACCCTCTTCTCCGATCAACTTTCAGAAACCGTAGGAGCGTTCTCTGAGCTGTGAGCTACAAGTTGGACCGAACAGTTTCAGAAGCTGAAACTGGTAAGTTTCTCCCTTAGTAGTTCGTTCTTAGGTTTCCTTAAAAACTAAGTTTTGGCTGCATGCTAGTGTGTAGTCTAAGTACCTCAACTTTCTTGTAGATAGATTTGATTGGAAGAGTTAAGTGACTGTTAAGGGGGAAAACGTTAGCTGGTCGAGCCACACTTCTTACGTATAGAACGATTCAGTCTCAAATCCGGGTAAGGGAAGCTTATTAATTTAAGGGTTAAATATGTTTTTAGTCCCTAAACTATTGGCCGTTTCTGGTTTTCGTCCCTATTTCAAAGTAAGGTACAATTTGGTCCTCATTTTTTTCAAAACGTTCGTTTTAGTCCTCGAAAATTAAACAATGTTTAAAAATTTGGTCCTCATTTAGCAACAAATGAGGACTAAAACCAAAATTCCGAGGACTAAAACGAACGTTTCGAAAAGAATGAGGACCAAATTGTACCTTATTTTGAAAGAGGGACGAAAACCAGAAACGGTCAATAGTTTAGGAACTAAAAACATATTTAACCCTTAATTTAATTTATATGACTATGTGTTGCATGAGCGTTCGTTGAATTGATTGGATATGAAAATTTATGATGCTATGTTATGATGCATGAAATGTATGAGATTTCTGTGATTTGATTATATAAGATATGATTATTTGAATATGGTATGATTGTAGATGGGTGAGACTATATATTAAAATTGAAATTTGATAATATTGACTATGATAAGAAATTTCCCTTATGATTGTGTACGTACGTTACTAGACGGTCTTTGACCGTTCGGTTTTTCCAGTGAAAATGATTTGGTAAGGGATTCTTTCATTCGGAAAGAATCCTAGTTAAGGACGAACGCCCTCTTGTATTAGTACTACGTTTGAGCATTCGGCCGAACGTAGATACCCGAGTGTTATGAAAGGAGTTGAGAAGCTTATAATTACACCTTTGGACACTTAGTCATTTGTAAATTCTATCTTCACCATCTCGTATTACCTTTAATTCTATTTGCTATTATGAATGCAAGTCTACGATGGGTCTCGACTCAAAGCGTTCGTTATGAGTGGCGCTCGGTCTTATACCGAAACGCTCGTCCTAGTATTAATCTACCAAACGGGTGGAAAATAACGTTCGTCCAAATTTATGTAAATCCGTGTACCGCGTTCGATCATTGACTGACAGTCGGCTTTTATAATTAAATTATTCTCGGTATGGTCATCTAAACGTCTTGAGGGTTTTTATCTATTTTGGATTCGGTCAAGAGCCTTCCTACTTAACTTATTCTTTGAGTAATGAGTTGATCTTCCTAGAGTCAGTTCATTCAACTGATTCGAGTAGAAAATGACGTTCGGTAAATCTGATGTGTCGGTTTTATTCGGTTCTGAAACGAGAATCTCTTGGTCTAGTTTTTCACGTTCATCCTCGTTATGAAGAGGGATGAACGTTCGTTATTTTATGTAACTGTAATGAAAGACGAAAATGAGGTTAAAGTGAAGAATGATAATGAAAGAACAGTATATGAGATGAAATAATTGTTGTGGAATTTGAACGAGCGTTCCAGGGAGGAACGACTCATGTATGGATGAATATGGAATTTTGTAAAGTATGACTGTGGGCATGCTAATGCTGACTGTTCATCCTGATGTTCCGTGAGTACTCGTCCTCACGTAGAGGAGGGTAGGTCATGTGTGGGAACGGCAGGGGGTCCTATTCCTTAGGGGTACTTTTGGATAGGGCTAACCTCGGGTGGCAGCTGATGAGATTATTCCAGTTACTACATCACCCGGGTGCAAGAACGTCTGTAGCTACACAGATTCATACAGTCCGGACGGTCTGTCTAGTAATATACTTCGTATGATGTTGTATGTTGAACTATATGTTTGTGTGGATTGAAATGTTTATTTTATATGTTGATGTATGGATTAAATTACATAAGCTTACCCTTTCGTTTTTCCTTGTGTTGTCTGTTGTCTTTGTACGTTCGTCCTGTCGTTGCAATGATCATCCGTGTGGATGTGAGCAGAAGGCGAGGCTACTTTGGAGGACGTTATTGAAGAAGAAAACCTGGTAGACGTGGAGGTCAAAGCCGAGCCTTAGAGCGTTCGTTTGTTTAGATGTTAGTTATTAGTTTTTGATTTTTGAACGTTCGGTTATTTTGGTTTTGGAAACAGTGATTGAGAGGCTACAACGACATTTCACTATACTAATGGAGCAGAACGCAGCTGCTCTATAGAGTTTGGAGGCCGCTCGCGCCAACTCTGAGGCGACCCAGAGGCAGTTGATGGAAATTATCGCTGCCACCAGAGGCACACCAGGAGCGTCCTCTTCCAACGCTAACCATCCATCCGAGTGGAGCTTGGAGAGTTTTCTACAACACCATCCGGCCAAATTCAATGGGAAGTGCCTCCCTGATGAGGCAGATCAGTGGCTCAGAGACATGGAGAGGATTTTCAACGCCAAGAGATGCCCGGATGAGAACAGGTTGGCGTTCACAGAATACCTACTAACTGAAGAAGCAAGCCACTGGTGGGCGAGCATGAGAGCTATCCTGACGGACGCCCAAAATCCCATCACATGGGAAGTATTCCGGAGCAAATTTTATGAAGAATACTTCCCTGACAGCGTTCGTTTTGCCAAGGAAGTGGAGTTTCTGCAACTGGTTCAAGGTGGAATGTCCGATCCTGAATATACGAACAAGTTTAAGCACTTGGTTCGTTTCAACACTATGGCTACCAGTGAGGAGTGGCAATGCAGAAAGTTTGAAAATGGGCTGAGGAGTGATTTGAAGGTGCTAATTTCTAGCCTGTGTATTCGCTCATTTCCTGCGATGGTTGAAAGGGCCAAAGTATTGGAGAAGAATATGGCAGAGTGGATCTCAAGCAACAACAGGTGGTTAGGGGACCGATCGTCTCCAGAGGAAATGTTAATCAGAGAAGAACACCTTACGCCCGTCCAAATACGAGTGGATCTCAAGCACTAATTACTGCCGGACAATCTGGGCAACAAGGAAATGTGACTTGTTTCCAGTGTGGAGGACCACACTACCGATCGTCATGTCCTCAA